TAATTTGTCCGGGTGCCCGCTGTATGATTATAAGAATGTCCAAAATCTTCACATCGTCAGTACTGTGCGTCAACACTGAAACCAGTAACATTACTTCCCAGTGCACAGTCCGGATACTCCTTATTTGGAAACAAAGACTTAGTTTGGATTTGTGATCTGTTAGTAATATAAGTTAACTACCCTACATTATTTTCCAATTTACATTGCCGGTCAGCACTTTAGATGCGTGCGCCAGTGTCTTCTCGGTTGCGTTTACGAACTGGTTTAAGATGACTATCACTATAGAGTGGCTGCATTTGGAAATGGTGTCTTAGGATCGCGTCAGTGCACCACTGAAAGGCAAAAACAGTGGTTTTTCCCACTGATCTCATTCTTGACGCTGTAAAATCGCAAATACACATATGTGTTGCATAATAGTAGTGCTAATTCTATGAAGAGATTATGGGGTCGTTAAAAAACTACAGATCAATAATTAAGGTAGGTCGGATAATATAATAAATCTGAAGATGAAGTGTGAACAGACAGGTCTGGAGAAATAAATCGACAAAGGGTCACTAGAGAACGGTGACGGTTCGCAAATAAAGACGCTACAACTATCGCAGGAGAAAATGATAAATAGAATTTTCCGCGCGTATGATTTGAACCTCTTGTACGTATGTCAATGGTTTCATCAACAGTAAACCTAAAAAATAGTCTTATAACTTTCATTTTAACTTGTTGATGGCTGGAGTCAGTTTAATTCGAGTGGACATTGTTTACAATCTGGTGTTGGGTCCCCGTTAATAGTCGTCTGTGTGCTGTTCAGCTAAACGGCTCCGTAAGAACTCCGAAGGATAGGGACACACGTCATTGCCTTTTTGTCGTTTCTGCCTGCGCTCCCACTGACTGCAGCTCGGATGAACTTTACAGAAAGCTCTCTGAACTTCAGAAACCTAAACGTTCAAACATAGTACTCGTAGCAGGTGACTTTAATGCCCAGATAGGTAGCTTAAACCAAACAGAAGGACATTTTGGTAGGTATTTTAGTACTCCGGCTCAGCGAACAGATAATGGTGATCGTCTGCTGCAACTGTGATCAGACAATCGTTTATTTTTAGCAAACACCAATTTTAAGCATAAGGAGAGACATCGTCTAACACGGTGACCCCCTACACCAAACCAACGATGGACTCAAATAGACCATATTGCCATCAGTCATCGTTGGAGAGGGTCGGTAGAAGATTGTCGCTCATTCTGGAGTACCTGCTTGGACTCCGACCATGCCCTAATACGGGCACGCATCTGCTTGCGCCTCACTGGACGCAAAAATGCCACATTAAAAAGACCCATTAGAACTGAATTGAGTAGCGAGAAAACCGAAAGTAGGTTCCAGGAACAAATGAGGTCACACTTAAGTAGTTCTGAAATCAAGGTTGACCCAGATGTTGCTTGGGAAGCTGTGGAAACAGCAGTGAAATCTATTAGTGACTTAAACCACAGAGTTACAAAGAACCAGTGGATTCCTTCAAAGTCTATCACACTGATGGATTCTCGTAAACTCATCCCATCAGGCTCTGAACACGATGAAGAGCGAAAACAAATCTGATCTAGGTTAAGCAAAAGTCTAAGGAACGACCGTGAGCAGTGGTGGGCAACGAAAGCAAAACAGATGGAAAAGGCGGCGGCTATAGAGAATACAAGACAGCTCTACAGACCAATAAAAGAAACTGGAATTAATAAGTCAAGTGTAAGTCAGGCTATTTCGGAAAAAGATGACCCTCATCTGCTCTCAGTCCAGACGTTTAGAACGATGGGCGGAACATTTCAGAGAACAGTTCGGTTGGCGTTCAGCTACTCTGCAACTACCCACCATTCCCAGACAGTGTGAATGGAACATTGAAGTAGGTCCTCCAACTCTAGCAAAAGTTCAAAAGGCTATAGTTAATCTGAAACGAGGAAGGGCAGCTGGTCCATATGGATTGGCTCCAGAGGTCTTTAAGGATGGTGGTCCAATTTTAGCGATTAGGTTTACTAATATTTTAGCTAAAATCTGGGAGTTGGACGTAATCCCATCTGACTGGTCACAATCACTTATCGTCCCAATATATAAGAGAGGGTTAAAATCATCCTGTGACAACCATAGAGGGATTAGTTTAACTAATATAGTATCTAAAATACTAGCCTCGATAATTATCGGACGCCTAACTAAGACTCGTGAACTGCAAACACGAGAAAATCAAGTTGACTTCAGACCTGGTAGTGGCTGCATCGACCACATATTCACCATTCGTCAGGTTCTAGAACACAGGCATACTTATCGGCATCCGACAATGGTGGTCTTTCTTGACTTAAAAGCAGCATTTGATTCCGTAGACCGCGAGATCCTATGACAGTGTCTGTCATTGAGAGGCGTGCCTCAGAAGTACATAAACCTTGTGAAGGCTCTTTACTCGAACACTACTAGTCGAGTCAGAGCTTATGGCGAACTGTCATCTGTTTTTGCATCCTCAAGTGGTGTTCGTCAATGCTGTCTACATCCTCCATTTTTGTTTAACTTCATCATAGACCTACTGATGGAAATAACATTCTCGTCGACTGAATTCTCGGGTATTGATCTCCTTCCAGGAGGTCCACTTATCGACTTAGAATACTCAGATGACATAGTCCTGTTTGGTGAAGACGCTGATAAAATGCAGTCTTCTGGTAGCACCTAGCAACAATGCCAGAATGTTTGAAATGCGCTTCTCTCCCTCTAAATGCAAGTTGTTGTTTCAGGACTGGTCTGCGTCAACACCTGAACTAAGGATAGGGAGTGAAGTAGTCGAACGCGTTGACAACTTCACTTATCTTGGACGTCTGATCAACTCCAATAGGTTGGTGTCTGACGAAATCTCAGCACGGATTCGAAAAGCTCGCTTAGCTTTTGCCAACTTACGTCACCTATGGCGAAGGCGAGATATCCGTCTATCAATAAAAGGACGAGTATACTGCGTAGCAGTTCGTTCTGTTCCACTTAACGGCTGCGAAACTTGGCCATTAAGAGTAGAAGATACTCGTTAACTACTAGTATTTGGTCACAGATGCCTTAGAAATATTGCTCGCATCTGCTGAGATCAGTGGGTAAGTAATAGTGAGGTTAGACGCAGGGTATTAGGGGATGATAGTAAATCAGTTGATGAGGTTGTGAATCTTCATCGACTGAGAGGGATGGGCCACGTGTTACGTATGCTTGAACACTGACTACCACGACGTGCAATGCTAACCGGTGTTGGAGATGGTTGGAAGAAAGTTAGAGGCGGCCAAACCAAAACGTGGCATCAGTGCTTGAAGTCACTAACTTCTAGTCTGAGCCATGTTGGTAGATGCAGACTACTTGGTTGGGGTCCGCGTGACTATCGTAACCAATGGTTGGAGACTCTTGGTGACATGACTCAGAATCGATCACAATTGCGTAGGTGTATACACTCTCTGTCTTCCTTTAAACCGTGAGATTAAAATCGCTTCATATCCTTCTTTCTACGAACTAATTCTTTCTTCATGTACTATATCCTTATTGCAATCTTTCTTTTATATACTACCACCTCTGAATTAACTACTTTTATGAATCCGGTGTCCATCTTGTGGTAATGAGGTATAGCAACTTGAACAGACGCATATATGTGCCTGGTCCTACATTGTAGCTGACTGACTGACTGTTCTTCGGCATCTACTACTGTCTGTGTTCAACCATGCAGGATAAACACGTATCAGACGACTGATATACTTACGGAAATCTGTCAGATATATCATCAGTAGTGTTAACATCTGTGAATCAATATTTTAAGGTTTTAAATTATTGCAGCGAAATTGGCTTGCTAATAGTCAGTACTCAAAATTGTTAAGACCCAAAAAAAGGAATCGAAATAATAGGTGTTATAAGTAGGGGAATAAATGAAAATGGGTAGATTTGGAAGCCATACATATAATCATCATGAAATCATTACATCATTGATTTATAGTCTTTTAACCTTCAGTTTAATTCATTAACTATCATGTTTTTTTCCATAAGTTAGTGAAAGCTAGTAATAAGCCTATTACCGAAACTTAGTACCAAAAAGATCCTAATTTTATACAAACTGTAACCTGTTATTTATAGTGCGCTATGTTGAATTAGCGACATCAGTGAGAACAGGAAATACAGTAAAAAAGTGCTTGTGAACACTCATCTGGCCTTTTGTTCTAATAGGTTTGGGAATTCGTATTTCCCGTCGATTATGTGAAAAGTTAAATTAGTAGAATCGCATATATTTATTGAGACTGCCATAGAAAATGCATATGAATAACACTACATTAGTGTTTTGTGGAAAGGTAAAACTTAAGATCTGTCCATTTTGATAAATCTCTACGTTTTGAACTATTTTTGGATTCGCTAGATGTAATATTTAAAATTCCAGTTCATGAAGGTATCGATTACTTTATAGTTAAGTGCTGATCCCATCAACAAATGTTACGAAATTATAAAATCCACGCTTACAACTTTTTTTAATTGATTGTGGTGGCTTTGCTTCGCTAATCGACCACCTCGATAACCGTTATAATATAAATCTCAATGATTATTAAAACCAGAAGGCAATGAGAAGCGGCAACTACAGTTCATTGGCAGATAACGCAAATCACAAAGCTATAAGCACATCGAGCGAATCTGAAGTGAAGAGGCGAATAAGTATATGCGAGCAAATACGAAGGCAAATCTATAAGGGCACAGCAAGGACTAATAATAGGATTTGAGTACATTATATATGGGGAGGAGGATGAATCATCGAGTGATATCTAAGCAATCAACACTAGCTAGTCTGTCATGTGCTCCAGTGATCATAACGGCATAAAGAAATACGAGAATTGTTACTGTTCTAATAAGATTGTCTATTAAGTTAATAAAAGGGCTTAACCAAAATTAACCATAATCGAAATTGGTTGTAGGATAGTTGCCATATTATTTTCAACCAATCGAAATAAGGTGAAAACAAGTAAAATTATTTTTAAAGTATGTATATATTTGGTTAACATATATTATACAGCAGAATATTCATTATAGCAAGTATCTGAAGGAAAATGATTGGGATATGGCATCAGAAATCCTGTGGAATCATATACAGGCCCATTTATCTGAGGTTGAGGGGCTGCTACTACTGGTGGGAACGATATGTTGTTCATATCTACAAAATTAAAGGTAAGCACAAATAGCGTTAATCACATATGAATCTCTTAAATAAATCCCTGGTAATTTATTGGATCTACTGACCGTCGACATAAAGTTGATATAACCGTGTTCTAACTGATGTATAACTGCCAAAATAGACTTACTAAAAAATACTAGTGAGAACACAGTTGAACCAGACGCATTAGAAATAAGGCCACTAGTCATTAACAACACTGGATAAAGATAAGAATTAAAATTAAATCCGAAAATGGATTGCTGGATATCGACTCATTTGTGTTGTATCGTGCTCGTCCCAAGACCTGAAGGCCTTGAGTTCAATCTCGTATGGTGCTGACAATGTATTTATTTAACACGAGGATAAATCAGAGGTTGGTATTTGTCTTTTAATAACTGTATGGATTATGTTAGCCTGTGATGAAAAGTTTTCTTAAAATAAAGTTTTATAAGCCTACTAATTAACCAGTATAAATATCTTCAACAGAATTTTAGACTGAGTGTTGTATTGAAAATGATGCGTCCAGCTGCTAAACTAGTTTATCTGTACCATACGAATTGCTTGTTGTTCAAGACAAAAATTCGAAGATTCAAACTTCATCTTACCTTTGACTGTATTTGTGAATTTGTATATATGTGCATACATATACACATATACATACTCTGAAGGACTAGGAAGCACGGTTATAGTTCGTATCTCTCTCACCACATTCCACAGAAATTGAGACTAAAAAGTCAATATGTTTTCAACAGTGGGATTATCCTTTATTTGCTTTAGTAGTGGATACAATATTGAAATTTCAAAATCTTCCAAAATAATCAACAAGTAAACAAACAGCTCCGAATTTATAACATTCTGTGGAAGCCATCTATCTCGATTAAAATTATCGAAATCTAGTTGATTTATTCAGAAAGACAGAATTGTCAGTTACTTACGATCCTGACGGATTCAGTTTCTGATATGTAACTGCGTAACATTTTATTTCATGTTACTGATAATTATAAATCCTTTTTTTTATTTTAGTTTCTTAAATTTTATTTCACTGTGTTTTCTAGTTATTATCATGTAACTTTTGATATTATCGCCATGGGTTTTAAGTTAATTTTATTCTAGGAAATTTCCATACTAATCAACCGCTTGAATATTCTTATAGTGATTTCATAGTAAGTGCCATTTTTAACAAAGTTTCAGTATTATTATTTAAAATCCCTTAGATGATTCTTAAGGAGATTTATTTGCTAGCACTAAAACTAATACCTACACCCAAGGTAGTAGTAATACAGATTTACATAAATAATTCATATCCTTTTCCAATAACTTAGAATAGTATTTTGGTAAATATTCATATTATTGATATTAACATGTTTATTATGCATTACAGAAAGGATGTGTTTATCAACGTTTAGTCTATTAATTTAGCAGTTCTATTAAGCGATCTTCCAGGAAGTTTCTCTTTCTGGAAGTTTGGAATTGATCAAATGATGAGTTTAAAACTGCTTATCTTGGTTTCAGTGAATATTTCGTATCGTTCCAATGAGAATTTATCTCTTTTTTTAGTTAATTAACTCATACAATCGTTTTCGTCAAAATTTTATGGTTTAATTTCCAGATGTCACTTGTTTACTAAATTATTTTACGTTTATATTATAAAATCAGTTAATTGTTGTTCGTGAGTTATGAAAATTCTAATGTTCGAAATCGTCAACTCTGATGTGTATTTTAATTGGTTGTTATCCATAACTTATTTCCACATTTGCCTTTTATAACTGAATAGATTCCATGTTAATGAAGTGGCTTAAATTTATTCAGTTAAAGCGAGTCTCTGTATCAAAGTATTCAATGCAACGATGAACAGTTCTTGAAATTGTTTAAAAAATATTTTATGAATTTTACGAAGAGCATTTATTATTATTCTTTTTTGTTTTCCGACTTCGAGAATAACAGACTGGATTCCGTAATGATTGGTCGTGCACAGACGAAACTGCGATACTAGGGATCATCATTGAACAGTCAACTGAATGGAATTCATCACTATACATCAACTTCACTGATTATTAGAATGCACTTGACAGTGTAGATAGGCGGGCTTCATGGAAACTTCTTCGACGCTATGGTGTACCTGAGAAAATCGTCAATATCATACGGAATTCACACCATCGATTACAGTGCAGAGTCGTGCATGGAGGACAGCTAAGGACCGGAGTCAGACAAGACTGATTACTTTCCTCCTTTCACTTTCTCCTGGTGGTTGACTGGATTATGAAGACTTCCACATCTGAGGGAAAGCATGAAATACAATGGACAGCTCGGAATCAACCAGATGATTTGGACTTCGAAGATGACCTGGCCCTTCTATCCCATACACATGAACAGATGCAGATGAAGACAACTAGTGTAGCAGCAGCCTCTACATCAGTAGGCCTCAACATATACAAGTGAAGAAGCAATATCCTCGAATCAGTCAGTCAGTTACAACGTAGGACCAGGAACATACATGCATCGGTCCAAATTACCACACTCCATATCCTCGAATACAGCACAGAGAACACCAACCAAATCATATCTGATGGAGAAACTCTGGAACAGGTGGAAAATTTCACGTACCTTGGCAGCATCATCGACGAACAAGGAGGACTTGACGCAGGCGTCAAGGCAAGGATTTGCAAAGCAACGGCCGCATTCCTACAGTTGAAGGACATATGGTACTCAAAACAACTGTCAACCAATATCAAAGTCAGAATCTTCAATACGAACGTCAAGACAGTTCTACTGTACGGAGCTGAAACTTCGAGAATTACCACAACCATTATCAAAAAGGTAGGAGTAATTCTAAATATCGTGGGATGGTGAATGTCCGTTGACCGGACATCATCAGCAACAGTCTACTGTGGGAGAGAACAAACCGACTTCCATCTGAGGAGGAAATTATGAAACGATGTCGGAAGTGGATAGGACACACATTGAGAAAATCATCAAACTGCATCACGAAGCAAACGCTAACTTGGAATCCTAAAGGGAAACGAAAAAGAGGAACGCCAAAGAACACATTGCGCTGAGAATTGGAAGCAGATATGAAGAGAATGAATATCAAGTGGAAAGAACTGAAAAGGACAGCCCAGGGCAGAGTTGGATAGAAAATGATGGTGGGCGGCCTATGCTCCTCTACGAAAAGTAACAGGCATAATTAAGTAATGTTTTTCTGTCCTTCATGTTAACATTTTCTGTTTATCGTTTACATCAAAATCAGTTTTGAAGATGGTAAAGTAAGCAAAACTCACGTTCCGTTTATTTGTAGTTGATAGGAAGCGGCTGTAGTAGATAGAAATCAAGATTTTAAATGAATGATCGATTAAATAGATATTTACCTACTGAGGATTTTGATTTATGCTGATGTGGTCGGAACAACTTTATTGGCCAATTTATACTGTTGTTGAATCAATTTACATGAACCACACAGTTACACTTACTGGGTTTTTATATTATTCAAAAATGTATAAAGAGTAATGTTTTATCTAATTATGAAGTCGCAGGTTAGACTTTTATTTTCTGATTTTCGCTGGTTCAGTGAGATTAAAGATTCTGGAGGTAGAAATCATATGTGTAGCTTATTTGTATATTACCAGTGAGAATCTGTTTCGATTACCAAATTATAGCCTTTACAGTCATACCAAGGGTTACAATCAGTAGTTCTAAGTTTTTTTCTTGTTGTCTATAGATGTTTGCTTTCTGTACGATGAATCGCAAACTTGGAAGAATGACTCATTTCGTAAAGCAAGTTATTCAACATGTACTTAAAAATGCTGTACATTATTTTGGATGAACGTTATTTTATCTGGCGTCATAAAAATTATTTAAATACCTATTAATGTGATAAACGAGGAATCAAAAACCGGTCATTTTTGTGCGTAGGTAGCGGGTAGATAATTATCTACTTCTGGTTATCAGAAATTACACATGAAATTATTTCTGACTAACGTCAAAACGTACTCATTAATTCTCCATACTATTGTGTCTAATAATAACTGAGGTTACAACAAATGTATTTCATAGTTTAAATCATGAACTAATTTTAACTAAACTACAATTGAAACCTAGAAATAGTGGACGGCCGTTTAACCATATTATGGAACTCCTCTATTTGTGGTGATACATGTGTCTCAACTCCGTTTTCACTGTTCGAAATATTTCTGAAAGCCTTCAGAAGTTAGGTCGTTTAACTGCATCGTCATTTCTCATTATTGTTTCTATATCTTTACTTCGTGTGAACGAGTCTGTTAGTTGGTTGTATACTCATCAGCACAATTAGTGTTATCCTCATTGACGTTGATGAATAAGAACTTTAATTAAAATCCGTTATGGAAAAAGGGTATGCCGATACGATATCCTGTGTGTTGTGTTAAGCCTGTTACTCCCAATGGAGCATAGGCCGCTGACCAGCATTCTCCATCCCACTCTGTCCTGGGCCTTCCTTTCTAGTCCGATTCAATTGTTGTTCATTCTTTTCATGTCTGTCTCCATTTCTCGGCGTAATGTGTTCTTTGGTCTTCCTCTCCTCCTTTGGCCTTCAGGATTCCATGTGAGCCATATATATATATATATATATATATATATATATATATATATATATATATATATATATATATATATATATATATATATATATATATATATCAATGATCGACCCCGAAAATCTTTTCTTGAGGAAATCAATTTGTACATAAATTTTAGACAACAAGTGATCAAAGGTATTTTTAAATTGAATTATAAGCCTTCATTTGAGTCATTAACTATTGACAAATCTTTGCCGTCTATTTACTACAGTGAGCCAATCATACACTTGTCCTTTAACTTTGTATCACAAATTCCTATGTATGTGCGTATTTAGACTTTTATCTATCGTGTGTTGCAGTTTTGAGTGTTATATGTATAAAATCATATGAGTTTTTGAGTCTGAATAGTACAAGGTACACAAGTCACTTGAATTTTCTATGGATTTATTAATCGTCAGTGGGTATAGAAATTTCACTAGTCAAATTATTGGCGAAGACAGGGAACTTAACATATATCTTAAAAGAAGACAGTCGTTAAATTAAATTTCAACTGGTGCACATTAACCAGGATTTCGACAATCTGTAGTGTGGCTACGCAAACACCAAGAGCCATTCTAAAAACAGAGAAGTCTATAAAAACAAGTTTAGCTGACAAATCTCAAATAAGACGAAATTATTTTTTTTTATGATTTGTAATACAGTGGGCCCAGTAAAACACCGACCAGGTGACAAGCCTACATGATTGGGCAAAGCGCGGTGTCCTTTTCCAAGCAATGAGACAGCATATTGGTAGGACAGTATGGCTTGAATATTTACGATATATATATATATATATATATATATATATATATATATATATATATATATATATGAATTTGTAGTGTTTTCTCTGTTGTTTACCAAAAAATACTCACGTTTCACTCTGAATGTTCTCACTTGAGTAACAAGTTGAGTTCGCGAGCAGGATCATATTTACCAGTAGCAGAACATAACAATTTGATTGCTTGCTAGCATAACTTAATTTGAAGTGAGTGAGAAAATATTTTCTAGTAAAAAAATGGTCGAATGTTTTTCAAATTTTAAGTCACTGTTTACAACAAAAAAAACATACCCTCCGGAAGTATAGGAGCATTACACGTATTAATTTCTTGGTCAATTGTATTGAACCATGCTTTTTCACATTCGTTACTGGCTTCAGTGTATAGTTTGTCACATTGAATAAAACGACGACGATTTATTTTACTATCTTCTAATTCTAATTTGTGCAATGTTTCAGTTCTTTCAGTGAATAGAGTTTTGCCTATTGAATCAAGCCAAGGTCGACCAGAAGGAACTTGAAGGGTTTGTTAATGAGAAAAAAAAGTATTTAAAAAAATATTAGACATAATGTCTATTTGATTCATAGGTGAAAAATCAAAAAAATAATTATGCTTTGTCTTTCTATCGGAAGTAATTATAGTGATTTATGTATAAATTACGATATTACTCGCTATGGTAGCTCGCGTCAACCAAATAAGGTGCTCTTGTGAAGTCCCCCCATTAGAACACAAATCAGTGTGGTAAAACTAATAACTCCAGCTCTGTCTATAAGGGGCGGCCTGCTTGAGCATCTAAGCTACCTGTTCCTGCCATCTAGATATTTCAACAAGTTATCTATTTTTGTTTGTTTTAATACATCACTATGTTTATGTTGGGATATTCAAGAAAATATCCCAAAAATTATCCTGTTAAGGCTAATGCTATCCTTGGACATGAAATGGTATCATCTTATTGGTCAATATTTGTTTAACGTGTCATTTTCCTACTGGCCATTATTGTACAATGTTATTTTCTATTTTATGGGACGTTGTGGTCTGCTTGACTGGTATATAAACAAAGTATATAAACAAAGTATGAAATATAATGATTCATAACCCAGAAGCTGTGACTTGTGTTCTGGACTCAACTGGCTGGGTTAGATAGGGAAGCGGGACCGATCAGAACGCTAGGCTGTTCTACGTGTTTGTGTGTCTTTGGTCCGATCAATAATTCCCTACCCTTAATCCGCAGCATCATTTTCACAGTTATAACAATTGGCGACGGGGTGAAGAAAAGATACAATCCCAAGTCACAATTGATTGATCACTGGGTGGTGATCAATCTCATGCTTGTCTAGTCCTTATTAGTGCAGATCGAATGCTATCGATCATGTTGCAATGTGGCCACCAGTCTAGGTGACTCGACACTGCGGGCACTATGTATTGAGATTAGATGGTGGTTGGAGGTAGTCAACAGGAAATCCAAAGTCATTCTGTAATTGGACGAAATACAGTCTAATTATTCAACCAATCAGTATCCAGATTGTCATCAGTGTCCTTGAACCACATTGGTCATTAGTCATACAGTAATTTTCATCACAGGTGCTGATTCGAAAAAATGACTCTCCCTTCCGATCGATTACAGCTGCTCTTTGAACGACATTTGGACTTATTAGTCAAATTCCGCACGCAGCTGCTAAATCACTCATGCTATGAAGACGCGACGGAAGTGGCTGGATTGATATCTCAAATACACAGTGAGCTGGAAAATGACAGCAACCTCCATGAATCCTCGATGAACTGTACTTCAAACGAAACAGTCATCCATGATGCGCCCAGTGGTCCAGTACTTTTTATTCCAGAAACATGCCCGGTAATGGAGTCAAACTCCATCATCCCCGAAACAGCATGTGCAGACAGTAACTTATCCAGCTCACGAGATCTCATTGTTTTGCCAGAAAATGTGTTCCACGCATCAAATAATAACCAAGAACCTGGTACAGTTTTGTTGGACGCCGATTATCATAATGATCCACTACTTACTAAAGATTTAAACCCTGATGACTTCGAATTGGATGGCGTTTATCCTCAATATCTGATCGATTTTACTGGATTCCCTGTGCAATATGTTTTAAATACAATCAAATTAATTGTAATTTGGGTTTATGAAGACCCAACATTATTTCGCGGGGGAGGATAGACGCGGAAAAAATTTAAAATCCGGACATCAACTCCGGATCTCCAAAAAAGGGAGGTGTTGGGATATTCAGGAAAATATCCCAAAAATTATCCTGTTAAGGCTAATGCTATCCTTGGACATGAAATGGTATCATCTTATTGGTCAATATTTGTTTAACGTGTCATTTTCCTACTGGCCATTATTGTACAATGTTATTTTCTATTTTATGGGACGTTGTGGTCTGCTTGACTGGTATATAAACAAAGTATGTTTGAAATATAATGATTCATAACCCAGAAGCTGTGACTTGTGTTCTGGACTCAACTGGCTGGGTTAGATAGGGAAGCGGGACCGATCAGAACGCTAGGCTGTTCTACGTGTTTGTGTGTCTTTGGTCCGATCAATAATTCCCTACCCTTAATCCGCAGCATCATTTTCACGTTATAACAGTTTATTAATCGCATAACCTATTCTGCTGCTTTTCTGAAAAGTGTACAACCTTTCGTTGTCAAAGTCACAAAAAACTCAATAAGAGACAATGTGGTTGCTGGCAAAATACAACGAAAAGAATGAACATTATTCAGATGTTCATTTACTGAACTGCTAACATCTAACTGGCGATCACTCAATATTTATCGCCAGGACCGACCAAGAAGAAACGGAAACATGTTGAAATAATTTGCGCTGCGAATTCTATATTGTACCAAAAATATAATATTGAATAAAGCTGATGATAATAATAATAATAGTGTTAAATTTAGAAGCCTATATATATATATATATATATATATATATATATATATACTCATTGGCTTTCTCTTTCAACACCTAATCGACTGTGAAGTTAGTCTCTTAGCTAAGAATAACACTTAAGTTTTATGCCTATCTTAAAATAACAATTCAGTCACAATGGAATGGTGACTGAATTACAAGAACTGATTAGTGGCTATTAAAAACACCTAGTATTCCTTTCAACTACAACTCAGTTATTTGTACTACTGAGTCAAGTCTCAACTTATTAACAAAATTCAATTATGGTTAAATAAATAGTAAGTAAATTAAAAATTAAACTTTCTAGTAATTTTATGGGAGGTAGATGGCTCAAAAGATCAGCTGTACACTGCAGAAATATGAAGCTTACGAGTTTTAACTTTAGTCTTCGCTCCCCTTTCATTTCGCATATCTTGTAATGCATTATACAACGTCCAGAGTTCATCTTTATCCAAATATTTTATATGTGTGATTAATTTTTTTACCCTAAAATATCATCATTATCACAATTATGGAATAAGTACAATAATAAAGGAAAGAAAGTCAAATTGTATAGGTATGAACAACTAGTCATTTAAATTTATGAGCAATAAAATGCTCCACATTTTAAAGATATGTGTTGAATTCGCCCAAGTTATTGTGATTGATTCTGTGCCGTGTTACCAACAGTCTACAATTACTGATGTACAACACTGTGAAGATGCTGTTATGAAAATCTAACAACTTTTACGAATGGTATCAATACTTGGTGACTTAACAGACTGTACTGCGCGTTTCGATCAGACCCATTGAGATATTTGATTAGCATAAAACCTAAGCTCAAGGTTTTATGTCAACAACATACAAGGGGGTATCAATAAATATGACAGAGTAATGTAACTGGTGGTTTACAATAATTTTTTTCCTCTCACATGTATATTACGATAATACGTTAATAAGACTAATCACTTTATATCAGAACCAGGATTCGCGACCTAAAATAGAGAATCAGATGAACACTAGAGAATACTTAATTCAATACAACTATAAGTAGTCACATACAGTGAGCCCAGAGTAGAAATTAATGATAAGAAGGAAAAGCACATATTTAATAGTCCGTAGGCTGTGGCTGTTTGCCCACACTCAACAGCCAGTTATACTTCCACTACCACACATCACAGAGTGAGATGTCGACTTACAGTAATGAACACAATCCATAGTCATAGTGTTTCAATCAAGAAAGTATGATTTATTAGCAACACTACTGCTAAAGATAGAAAACACTAATCAAACTTACTCAGAAATAATTATAGGGGGAGGTAATCAGCAGAAAACCTTTAGAAACTTTAGGTATGTTTTTTGGGAGATATATTCAAATACTTCTCCAAAACAACGACAATTCATTTTATGACAATTATCTCATTCACCTGGGTATCAACCAGAACTTAAGTGTTAGGGACTTAGTAGCCTAAATTCGAATGCCCTAACCAGTAAGCCCCTGCTTCCCTATCTAAGCAGCCATGAGATAGATTTTCTACCACAACATAAAGTATTTGGACAATAATGCCCCACTGACAAAATCAACATGAAGCTGCGTCCTGGTGATCGATACTTAACTTGATTTTTGCAAGTAAAAGTGCTGAATGCACGATGTCACAACTTCAACAGAATACAGAATTGCAATTTATCGTCAAAGGATAATAAGTAAGAGAACTATCGCTCCAAATGACAGAGATGCTTATAAACGATAGACTAGTGAAAATAAAAACTCACTCCTCAACCTCCGTATGAACATTGCCATTAGATGCATTTTCGTCTTTTACTTCCACTTCAGCTTCTTTATTGGCTTCAGATGAAGTTGGCACCTCGTATTTAGTAACAAGATCTCCAGCAACCATCATGTCCCATGGTTGCGGACTTCGTATGGACACATAACTATTCTGAAACATCTTCCCATTTTCACTAGTTATGACATTTTCCGCCGCTGAAGGACTTTCGAACTCCACGAAGATCACACGTCGGTAAATAGATATAGCTAAAAAGATATAAATACACCCACTGAAAACTAAATTTATAGCAACTCGTTTAACGAGTATATATTTGTGACCGGTTTCTAGTCACACATTGATAATAAACATTTATTCAAAATGAAGTGCTGCAAGGTTTTGACCTGTAACTCACTGGCTGAAGGACAAGATTTCTACCTACTACTGATCAATGCCGAATACTCACAAAGCAACTGTGTATAATTATACTTGTCACCAACATTCAGTAACTCCACACATGATCTTGAAAACTTTCATTAAACCATTAGACGATAAGAGTTTAGATGGCATAAATGAACAAGTTGGTTCAGAAAACCAAAAATATTTGGGGTTATGAGTTAGTGTTAAGACGGAAGTGCTTTATAGCCATCTGCATAAGAATACTTATGCAGTTGTTTCTTTGATTTCAAGCATCAAGAACCTATGACTTACCTCAAAAAGCTCATAAATCATAAAATGCTGCATACATCTTCAGTCAGTCAGTAACAACGTAGAACTTCGTACGTACGTACATCAGTTCGAGTTGCCACACCACATTAGCACAGAGATGCACTTGTCGATTCAAATCCCGTAGTGGTAGAGGTAATAAGAGTATAAGCAGTAATCGGGAAGATTAGGGTTTGGAGATGTTATTTAAAGAGTATAATCCAGTGAAAGAAATTTGGAAAGAGGAAAAAAAGGGACATGAAGAATTCAGAAGATTAGAATTTGGGAGAACACAGAGAGTGGATGCACCTGCGCCATTGCAAACGATTTTGAGCCATGTCATTCAGGGTCTCTAACCATCGGTTGCTGTCATCTCGCGGTCCCCAACCAGGTAGTCTACACCTACCAACATGACTCAGTTCACTTGTCAGTGACTTCATGGACTTGTGCCATGTTTTGGTTTGGCCGCCCCTAGCTTTCTTCCAACCTACTCCTATACCACTGAACATAGCACGTCGAGGCAGTCGGTCGTTGGGCATACGTAACACGTGTCCCAGCCATCTCAACTGATGAAGTTTCACTACTTCATCAATTGATTTGCCATCCTTACCTAGTACCCGTTTCCTAACAACTGTGTTACTTACTCGATGGTCCCATGATATATGAGCAATGTTTCGAAGACACCTATGATCAAATACTAGTAACCTACGGATATCCTCTACTCTTACCGGCCATGTTTCACTGCCATAAAGTAGGACGGAACGAACTGCTGCGCAGTAAACACGTCCTTTGGTTGATAGACGGATATCTCGCCTACGCCATAAATGACGCAAGTTGGCAAAAGCTAGTCGAGCCTTCTGTATCCGTGCTGAGATTTCGTCACACACTAAACCACAAGGGCTGATGAGACTTCCAAGATAAGTGAAGCGGTCGACACACTCAACTACTTCACTCCCTATCACTAGTTCGGGTGTCGATGTAACCCAATCCTGAAGCAACATTTTGCATTTCGAGGGAGAGAATCGCATCCCGAACATGCTTGCATTGTTGCTTAGAGTGGTCAGAAGACTCTGCATTTTGTCAGTGTCTTCACCAAATAAAACTATGTCATCAGCATATTCTAAGTCAACAAGTGAACCTCCTGGTAGAAGTTCAACCCCTGTAAATTTAGATGAGGAGAGTGTTATCTCTAAAAGTACGTCAATGACAAAGTTGAACAAGAATGGGGAGAGTGGACAGCCCTGACGAACACCACTTGAGGTAATCAATTCTGATGACAGTTCGCCATAAGCTCTCACTCGACCAGTTGTGTTCGAGTAGAGAGCCTTTATAAGGTTAATGTACTTCTTTGGTACTCCTTTCAGTGACAAACACTGCCATAGAACCTCACGATCAATCGAGTCGAATGCCGCCTTAAGGTCGAGAAATACTACCATTGTGGGGCGTCTGAATGTGTGTCTGTGTTCTAGAACCTGACGTAGTGTGAATATCTGATCTATACAACCACGTCCAGGTCGAAAACCAGCCTGGTTTTCTCTAGTCTGCTCTTCACGAGCTTTAGTTAGGCGTCGAAGTATTATTGAAGCTAATATTTTAGACACTATATTAGTCAAACTGATTCCTCTGTGATTGTCACAAGAGGACTTTTGTCCTTTCTTAAAAACTGGCACAATCAGTGATTGAGACCAGTCAGATGGGATTACGTCCAGTTCCCAAATTCTACCTAAGACCTCGGTTAATCTCATTGCTAATACTGGACCACCATCCTTAAAAATCTCAGGAGTAAACCTGTCAGGGCCTGCTGCTCTCCCTCGTTTCAGATTTCCTATGGCTTTTTCAACTTCGTAAAGGGACGGAGGACCTACATTAACTTGCCATTCAGGTTGACTGGAGATCGTGGGAAACCGAAGTGTGGCTGAAGGCCAGTTGAACTGATCCCTAAAGTGTTCTGCCCATCGATCCAATCTCCTGGATTGAGAATGAATAATATGTCCATCTTTCTCTGAGATTGTTTCGCTAACGGTCGGGTTCCTAATTCCGGTTTCCTTAACGAGTCTGAACAATTGTCTGCTATTACCTATTGCCGCTGCCTTTTCCATCTCTCTTGCTTTCGCTACCCACCACTGTTCGCGATCATTGCGTAGACTTCTTGTCAGCTTGCGCTTAAGCTGACTCCGCTCTTCATTATGTTCAGAGCCAGGTGGAATGAGTTTCCGAGCATCTATCAGTGCGATAGATGCTGCTGAGATCCAGTGTTGCTCCCTAACCTTCTGGTTTACCTTACTAGCAGATATCACTGCTGTTTCCACAGCTTTTCGGATATCATTCCATGCTGCATCGGGGTGGGCATCACATACATGGCTGCCTAACTGTTTTCCTAGTTGTTCCTGAAATATACTCTTAGCTTGACTATCATTAAGTAGGGCCCTAAGAGGTTTCCTTGCAGGGTCTTTCCTACGTCCAGTAAGACGCAAGCAAATACGCGCTCGCACTAGAGCATGATCTGAATCTAGGCATGTGCTCCAGAATGAGCGACAGTCTTCTATCGAGCCCCTCCATCGGTGGCTGATAGCGATGTGATCTATTTGGGTCCAACGTTGGGACGAATTAGGGGGTCGCCATGTTAAAAGATGTTTTTCCTTATGCTTAAAGTTAGTATTTGCAAGGAACAGGCGGTTATCTGAGCATAGCTGCAACAGACGGTCGCCATTATCTGTTCTTTGAGCCACGACACCATAAGATCCACCTAGGTGTCTTTCCTTATCACTTAGTTTGCCTACTTGAGCATTAAAGTCACCGGCCACTATTACTACATCCGAGCGCCTAGCTTTTCGGAGAAGGTCCGAAAGCTTTCTGTAAAACTCATCTTTTACATCATCTGAGCTGCAGTCAGTGGGAGAATAGGCAGAGACGACGAAGAGGCAACGACGAGTGTCCCTATCTTTCCGGATTCTTACTGTTCCGTTCAGTCGGACAGCGCACAAACGACTGTCTATTGGGATCCACTCTAAGAGAGCTAGTTCTGCCCTAGGACTCAATGCTATACCTACGCCGGCGAGGCCACGGGAAGCAGAATCAGGGCTTCCAGATACACGAAGCGTAAATCGAGTCGGTTCTTTATTTTGGCATGGTGAGGTCAAATGAATGACGCTACTTGGATCCTGTATGCGCGTTTCGGAGACGCAGCACACATCGATGGCGCGAGATTCTAAAGTTTTAGCTAAGGAAGCCTGCTGTCCTATTTGGCAAAGTGTTCGTACGTTAAAAGCTCCTACGTGTAGTTTAGAGCGTGGTTTCAGGAGACCAGGAATGGCGTTCCACGTACTCGAATCGTTTGCCCTAGCGGTGCGAGGTGATAAAGAGACGTGAGGAGGGTTAGTCGGGAGGATAAGAGAAGTATTAGGAGGTGTAGGAAGGATTTGAATGTGACCACCTTGGTCTCTTGTGCTGTTACGGGTATGAGGGCTGATGTCACTTCCCGGCTGCCCACACCGTGGAAGGGTATTTCTTGAGGAACCTGAAAAGGAAATTGGATTAGTGTTGGTCTTGACGACCTGGGAGCGTGACCGCAGAGCCCAAGGGACAACTGCTTGAGGCCGGTCGCGCACGGCCTTTTTGTGGAAGGTTTTTGACGTGTTAGCTCCGTTCTTCAAGGGGCCTTACCGCCGGAGACGGAAATCCGTGAGGTAAGGTGAGGTGTGCATTTTTAGGGTCGACCTTTTCTAACCCCACCCCTCCTTGTGGGAAGGCAGCATCGCTGTCATGCTGGTTGTCCGAGGGAAACACCTTACTGCTGTCACACCTCTCTACAGTCAGCAGTACGACTTCGCCCTCAGACCTTGAGTTGCTGCTTTTAGTCTTACCGTTCGCCAATCGACCTGCCTGGCATGGTAGAACCTGCAGGAACATATGTTCCAGCCAATATAGCTCGGTTGGGTCATCACGATAGGCAAGCCCGATCACCGCGTCAAGGTAGCAGCTTCGATCGGGCATACATCTTAATTCCATTTGTTTTTGATTATTTTTCATGCAAAATAAACCACTCTCATAAAGACACTCAAGTGTCTCCCTACTTTCTGTCTTCTCACGTTTATCATTTTCAGGCATTTTTGTAAAAAGTTTGGCAGGTTTTAGTTAGCTGTTAATGGAGTCTAAGCTATTCTTCGTTTTTCGAATTTCGCTCAAAACACAAGAACCGAAATTTTATTCGTTTGTCGGTACGGTATAGTTATACCGAAAACTTAAACACTCACTCCTACCTAAAAGACTATAAAATCAAGGTTGTTGAAGGTTAGACAGAAATGTCAAGAAAATTACAATTTATTCATAACTATAATAGTAGCCAATAATGGTATTTCAATATGGAAATAATTATTTACCAAGTAAATATTTCCTGAGAACTTTCTTTAACCGAAAGTAGATCCGTCAACATTTAAGTTTGCTTAATCTGAAGTTTTCTTAAAATATCCTAGTCGTGTATTACTTGGATAAGTAGACATTTGAAACGAGAATTTGTAGTATATATAAATTCTAGTACAATAGGATACACCAAAAAACGAGTCATACAAAGTTCAATTACAATATTGTGGAAGGAAAAAAGCCACACACGCAATCGACAAACAAACAAGAATACAGGTTAATAGGAGATAAAGTTCAGTTGGTGTTAGTTTATTTTGCTTTCGTGAAAAATGTAGCAAGAAGCTAGCATACGACTGCAAAAACATGGGTAGTGAAAACGTAAGGTAAATTACTGTACCTATCTATTGGGATGAAAAGTAATAAACTAGTATTCTTAAAATTCCCTACATTAAAAGTTTCAGTTAATTTAAAACTTATTTAAAAACGAAATGTACAAATAGGTACTTCGTGTAAGGAGCTAGTTAGTTTAATGGCATAACAAACGTTAAAATCTTGTATCCAAGATTGAACAAGGCAGGTCTGATGATAAAAGGAGACAAATGGAAGTAGAAAAGTTTCAAAACAGTTACCTATATATAATCTCTATTTGGTTGACTCTATAGGTTACAAAATTTTACTAAAAATACAAAATGTCTACCTTGAAGCCAGTCACCACTGAGGATACAATCATCATTTACTACAAATACCAAGTGTATGATTATTTTTACGTGATGGTGAGAAGTTTTAAACTACTATAAAAAAGTTGGCCATTCGCCCTTAGTTTTAATGCTTCTGTAGCTAAAGTCACTTCACTTCTATTTCGTACCAAGTTCAGTGAGTGACAAAGGACTAAAGTGTTTGAATAAATCGAACATTGAAGTCATGAAACAACTTATATTCAATAGTGAAATACTGCATAATGTTTTGCCTATACTTTCAGTAAATGAAAGTCTTATTTCAAAAATAATTTTTCCCATTATTCGTGTGTTTGGCCGTTCGATATTTAATACATTCCCTTTGGTCACCACAAGGATGGAGTCAAATAGAAAATCATCTAAAATAAGTAGGAACTGAAATTTAGAACTCGAAAAACAAACCTAAAGAAGTTCAAGATTCTGCCACAGTTTAACACTTACATTTAACAACACCAAATGGTGCTAACCATGTTTCCACTGATTCCGGTTTCACGTTATGTGTATTTGCCAAATCCTCAATAACAATACTGCATGTGTCATCCATATGTGAATGCTAAATATGAGAATTTTTATGAAAACAAAGAAACAAAAGTCGTACAACCACAGACTTTTAACAAGTGGAATATGTAGTTAGACTATGAATTCAGAGACAAAAAACTACCTGTTTGATGAGTGCGAGTAATAAGACAAATACGAACGAAGCCAAAACTTCGTACTTTGAAATGACTGAAGTAGCTGTAGGAGAATAATGACAGTGAGAAAAACAGCTCATGGGTAAAACTACTAATTTTCCATATTAACCGAAGCAATCAAAAAAGGGAAAACAAGAAAATTCTGTAAGTAAAATGAAAGGGCAATAATGGAGAAACGTACCCAAAAGTCTCCTTTTTCAACTGCCTTGATAAAATAACGTGAAACTCTAACTCTTTGTCACTCTATTTTTGAAATGTCGCAGAATTGTTTACTTTTCGCTAAATCTCACTCTAAATTGTCTATCTTCCTCCTAGCCCAAACTGTCTCCTATGTTCGCATTTATTCCCATTACAAAACACACGACGACTACTACCGACTACATTCAAAAACGACATATGGTTAAGGACATTCATTGGCAAGCAATAACATCATGGTTTACAAGGAGATTAATAACAGACATATGCTCGTTACGTATTTTCATCGTAAGTGCAAATTTCCACTGTCATTCACGAAGATCTGTAGAAGTTACAGGTAATGGATTATTAATTAAGAAGGTATCATAATTCATAATCGCATATGAAATCAAACAGGCTTTCACAACACACACTTCATTAGTTCAGACGTATCACATAAAATTCAAAAAGTCAGCGCATGGTAAGAATAAGCTTTAAGAACTATATGTTTCCCCTTTTCTAATCATTAGACGCACTAACATCGCGGTTCTTATCGTCATGCGTCACCGAAAAAGAAATTGCTAAACTGCATGACATTGGGACGCAAGGGTGTTTTCATGACATAAGACAAACTGTAAAAGTATCTCAGAGAGAAAAAAGAACATGTATGTACTACTCAATGGTTATAACTTTCCGCTACTATTCTACAGGTGGTGTTCAGTATTAACGAACGTAACCGTAATTTATACTTCAGATCGAGAGTTGCTTAACGAACTATAACTGTTAGACATTGTTGTAAATCTTTGCGTTTATTAAATTTCAGAATTCACAAGATTATTTTGATTAGGAATATTAACACTACAATTGTAGTGAAGGCGTTATTATTAAATTGTACTTTAGTATTTAACTTGACTTTCAATGTTACTGATTGCCGACGAGTGTCTTTACCTATATATCGTTTTTGAATGTAGTCGGTAGTAGTCGTCATGTGTTTTGTAATGGGAATAAATGCGAACATAGGAGACAGTTTGGGCTAGGAGGAAGGTAGACAATTTAGAGTGAGATTTAGCGAAAAGTAAACAATTCTGCGACATTTCAAAAATAGAGTGACAAAGAGTTAGAGTTTCACGTTATTTTATCAAGGCAGTTGAAAAAGGAGACCTTTGGCGCTTTTCTTCAGTATTCCCTCTTTATCTCGTTTTCCCCTGTATTGCTTGCTTAAGGAACCATGTGAAAGCATTTCGAGATAGAGCGGACTCTTCCCAACCTCGGCTGTACCGAAATATTTAAAGGCTATCACTGTTACAGTCAAAATAGACGGTATAACAAATAAACCTAGGAACAAGTAGCCATTAAACAAGGATGTTTGGAGTGTGCAACCCTAAATATAAATTGTGGAAAGGAGAATCAATGTCGATTTACGGAGAACTTGTAAGGTCAACTTTCAACATATTTTCGTCACACTAGTTTATTCAGTGGTATTCTTTTTATAAACTTTCATTGCTTTCTTCATTATGTGTAACAACTACCCAGTTTATAGGATTCTGCATGCTTTATTCATTGCATTGGCACATGACTTATTACTGGGAATATAATTGAGCCCTTCTGACGTCTTTACTAATCCACTTTCCATAAAAGACTTCTCTCTCCTACATCTCTCGGCAGCGTATCGCTTAAGCGTTGTGTACTAATTGCTCAGTCCAACTATTTTGCTCAGATCCCATTCAGTATTAGAATAATCTCCCATACAACTGTATCATTTCAATTCACAACAAATATATAGCACTGTAAAATAAAACACCACCTCAGGATGACCAGAAGAATCTAGAAAGCTAAAAGATAGGACTAAGAAGTGTATTATGAATAGTGGTAAAATATCAAGGAAATAAAAATGTATAGGGTTGAGCCATACTATTGAACCTTAGACTGTAAATTAATGTTATATCACGGATATGGAGATCTGAACTTGACACGGCTGGTGATAATAGCCAGTTGATATATAAGATTCCATGAGGCTCTTGAGACCCTTTCGAAAGATTCGTTATTATCTGACTGGTACTCTAAGCATAACACCCGTATTATTCATGATATAATTTCAAAACGAGAGAACATTGATTTCAAAGACAAATGTCCTCGAATGTAAAAAAATGTGCGTCTTTCAGTTTTAAGATAAAAAATCACGTTCAACCTTAGACACTAACGCTCCATTCGATTCAAGTAATAAACCTGGGTTACCATACTTAGTGATCTTTTCATTTAAGTGTAAAGTTAATCGGAGTTCGTTGCTTCTCTCAGTTTGGATTAATCAGTTTTCCCAACTTTACGAAGATTTATAAACTCAACTTCAATGAAAAAAGTGTAATGTCGGTAACAAGTCAACTTGTTACTGGTATTGCACTCTTGTACCGTTACATCCAACGTCTTTAGAAGCAGAACACATAATGAATACTATAGATGAATTCGGTAGAAAAAATGCACTGAATATGTAGGAGATACACAACTAGAATTACTGCTAAAGTAAACTAGAAGTGCTACAAGTGAAAATCCAGGTAGGAAGATAGATTAGATAAGCTCGTACCAGCTAAGTTGAGGAGTCCGCGGTACTGTTCAGATGGTTTAAATGGTTGTGGACGGAATAGAAGAAGCTTTCGCTTAACAGGCTTCCGTGTCTAGTAGCAGGGGATCACCAAATCCTCCAGGCAGGAACCTAGGTATGTTAACAATAAAACAGATTCAGATTTGTGTATTAAGGACAGAAGGCCAGGAAAAGAAATTAATAAATCATAGTGCGATACTATCCTTAGTCCTTAAGAATAGGTCAAGTTGCCTCTTAAAGGACTCCTGAGAAGTCGATTGGACCAGCGTTTGACAACTCTTAAGGAGCAGAAGTTGTGTCTACAGTCCGTTCTGCTATGTTGTGTCTCCAGTTTTTGGGTGTTACCTCTTAGGTTAGTGTTGAAACTAAGCTTAAGTAGGTGTTTGAGAGGATGTCCAGAAATATTAAGGATACTATAAGCCATCAGAAGGTCACCTCTAAGACGTCTATACTCTAATGGGTAAAGGTTAAGTTAATGGAGGCGCTCTTCGTAAGGTTTAAATTTGAGTCCTCGAACTGACTTCGTGGCTCGCCGTTGGATACGCTCCTGGGTGTCCTTATCCTTTTGGAGTGAGGGGGAAATACTATGTTTCCGTACTCTAAATGGGGACGGATAAAACTATTGAAGATTATATGGAAAGTTCTTCCGTCAAACTGGCCAAAAATGCGCTTCAATGTTACCAGTGCAAGGTTTGCTCGAAATATATTTTTGTCACCATTAGTGTAAGACTTCAAATCGTAGGGTACCAGGACACCTAAATCTTTTTCGACTCGGGATACTTCTAGAGAGGAGTTTCTCGAGTTATAACTGTAGTCTGCGACATGTCGCAGATGGACCACTTTACACTTTGAATTGTTGAAGGTAAGTCCGTTGTCACCTGCCCAACTTTGAAGTCGAGTCAGATCCTCCTGAAGTGCCTGTATATCGTCTTGGTTGCGTATCCCTCTCTCCAAAGTTTCACGTCGTCGGCAAAAAGTAATAAGTCTGACGTTACCTGTTGAGGAAGATCATTTATATAAATCAAGAAGAGAAGAGGTCCTAGTACTGAACCCTGGGGGACCCCACTAGGACATTCCATAGCCTGAGATAAAGCGAAATTAACCCTGACCTTAAAATGTCGATTTTTTAGGTATGAAGTGAGCCAATCGACTAGAGGTGGTCTGATACCCAATCGTTTGAGCTTATTGATAAGACATGTATGATTAACCTTATCAAAAGCTTTTGAGAAATCTAGGTAGATGATATCAACCTTCCCCTTGTGATCAAGGATGCTTGTCCATCTGTCCACCGCAGTCAGCAGGTTGGTAATACAAGAGAAACCCTTCCTGAAACCTTGCTGTTGGGGTGATAAGAAATTTAAGGACAGTAAATAGTCATTTATACCATCGCATATCAGAGACTCCATGATTTTTGAGGGTATTGAGAGAGGAGCCACCGGTTGGTAACTTGAAGGTTCGTTGCGTTGACCTCCTTTGAAAATTGGTGTGATGTGAGCCAGTCTCCAATTTTCCGGTAGTTTTCCTCGACTTAGCGAGTGTGAGAATATCACGCTAAGCGGTGTTGCCACGATAATCTCCGAGAGTTGAATAAGTTCACCGATTGATCTGCTTATAATACCATCTTCATGTTGGATCATGGTTAAAGTGTGTAATTCTTAACCTCTAAAATTACATCTAGTCATTTATAATGTTTTTGACAGCCTTCGACATTATTGGACTCAATTCTCGACAACCATCTCTTCTGAATACTACTTTCTATGTTATATTAGGAGCCCACATGTCTTCAGCGAGTGTCTCAGTACCTACATACCCTCATAGATCATCGCTGATACCATGTCATATCATCGATGAAGCTAAGTCGCTTCTGTGATAGACAAACAGCAGACAACTGGACGCTTCACAGTTTGTCGGACATCATCAGTGCCACAATAATTCGATGCAGATTGATCAGAGACACACTATGAACTGGCCAACAGGACAGTGTCTTCTCTGTTCCTCCCTAATTAACTACAAATTTGGCAAGATTTTATTTGTTCACAAACCCAAGGTACTTGATTATCACAAGATTAGGTATTTGTGGCAACACCCTTTCTGGCCCATGAATTGACTAAGATACTGTGAATTCATCCAGTGTTTCTGCACTTCTCTGATAGAAATATCTCCTACGTTAATACGTTTAAATGTTGTGTTTTTCCTATAAGTTCGGACACTCATCTTTTCTGTGAAGAGAATCTACGTGTTTAGGCCCAATTTTCAAGTTGAAACGTGAAAAACCTGAAAAACTTAAGGGACAATGAGAACATCTTTCAGTGATATTTAGTCGCTTTACTTCATAAACTGCGGAATATGTCGGAAACAACGAGGTCTAACGAGTCAGAGTCATGGAAATTAGTCAACCTATGGGATAGTCTCCTTGTGCTCATTTCAAAATGGGTTAAAGAATGTCCTTCTCCACATATGTGAGGTCGAATTCTGACCAAACATTACTTATTACAGTGTACGTTAATTTTGAATATTTTCTTCATCGCCACCAAAAATTTTTAATCTTCTGCTTACAGTCTTCTAAACCTTCAAATTTCCGAACATAATGCGAATTCATTATCTCCAAGTGCAGACTCAGAAGACCAAAAACCTTCAACCTTCATTTTTTGTGACGGTTTTTACTAGATCTATCATGATGAAACAGCTCAAATCGGAAAATACTATCCAATGATTAGTTTTACAGTACAGTGTACCTACTCGCTACAGAATCGTTTTAAAATGCTGGATCACCTCTGCCAACCCTACGACTAACGACTTATATTTGGTCTAAATTTACCGACACGATTTATTGACAATAGCAATGAAATATTACTGAGTGGAATTAGCAGGTACATTCAATTGTCGAAAACATGATAAATGTGGCAATAAAATATGTTATTAAAATTAAAACCACCAGTATAAAGTTTTTAAGTCTTAGAATAACCAGTTCTCATGACAGAAAACACTTAGAGTTTACCCGGCAGCAACATTTTATTTTCAAATGGATACTTCATCGTCAGTGTCTTTTTATATTCTGATGATCCATAATGGGTGTTAACAAACTGTTTTCGATGTCCGTTTAGGTAAAAAGATATTATTCTATGGATGGTGTTCGGAAAATAAAATCATCGATGACCAGTACATTAGCTCGTAGTGAATCCACCTCCTTCAAGTGCTTAGGTGATTTCAAGTAAGAATATGGATATGTGACTGGTTTTCGACGCCAAGAGTAAGTTCATGGAAAATCGTGTTTAGTTCCTACTGATCAGTCTGTTCCCTCATGCTGTCTACTCAGAGCTAAATCAGCAGTATGTGTGAGTTGCGACAATCAAGTAACCCTGGATTTATAGACGTAATAGACATGATGTCGTTTTATTAAGCCACCGATTCGACAATGCAATAAAATATTTTTCAAATTCGACGATTGTACATGCAATCAAGACTAATCATCTATCACTGCGAGGTGTCTACTGAGGACATACATGATAAGATCGATTACTGAAAATAGTAGAGAACCCAGTATCGGGAACACTTTGCACTGTTTTGGCAGTGATAGTCAATTAAACTAATTAGCAAATTGTCAAGATATTATACGTCATTTCGAAAGTCCGTGATATTTAAGTTGACGCAAGAGCTGCTGAGCTAATTTTACTTACTCGGACGTACCTGAGAGTATTATAAAGTTACCAGAGTATCGTTGACTTGATACACACCGACATAAATAAATCGAAAGCAGTTATTTGACAATACGATACTATTTTTATCACCAACAATTATGAAAGATATAAGACATGTAAAGTAACTGTGGTTTTGTGTAGTGGGTTACATAAAAACTTTACACCCCTAATGTCAGATACGACCAGATCATGGAGTATCCATCACGGAAAAACACGAAAAACACGAAACCGACTGTTCGTCACAGGTTAGAAACTTCCTTGCCAAGCAAGGAACTCAATTTTACCTCAACCCATAAGACAGTTTATTCCACCCAAAGTTAATAATCAGAAGCACAAGATATGAGGTCAGCAAAGTGCTAAAAGCCTGTGAGATTTTACGTGTATCAGCAATAACTGTTGCTTCCAACAAACAACAAATCTAGTTCTGTCTCCAAAAGATACATGAAGTCACAGAATTTGAACGCGTATTCTCAAATGATAGTGAAACAATACGACAGCTTTCAGGATGTAATGCTGATTAAAACGGAATGGCTATCATCAACTGAAAGCAATCAAACAGGAGTGATTCAAATAAATAAAAAATTACAGATGTGACTGATTAACTCGTTGTGGATCAAGAATTAAGCATCCCTTTTACTTGCTTAAACCTAAAGACGCCACAGGTATTCGAAGTGTGACAACGCCTTTTCACGTAACACCTTTTTACTCGAAGGATACCAACCGAGTTAAATCCAAAGCCGGAAATGAAAGCGTTCGAATATATGTTTAAAAAGCTATGGATATATCGAGAAGCGTTTGATCTAAGCTGGCTGGCAGCTGAAAGGGATGCGTATCGTAGCGTACCCACTCGTGATCTGGTACGGATGTGTGACCAAGAGCCCTCAATTAGGATTTGCACAGTAAAGGTCAACAAGAATGTCAAAGATATACAGGGCTATTTATTTTAAGGATTTATTTACCGGATATAATCAGCAACAGTTTACTGTGGGAGAGAACAAACCATTTTCCAGCTGAAGAGAAAACTAGGGAAAGAAATGGAAGTGGATAGAAAATACATTACGAAAATCACCGAAATGCATCATGAGGCAAACGCTAACTTGCAATCCTGAATGGAAACGTAAAAAGAAGACTAAAGAGCACATTGTGTTAGAAAACAGACATTCAAAGAATGAATAGCAACTGAAAACAACTGGAAAAGATTATACAGAGCATAGTTAAATAGAGAATGCTGGTTGACGACCTATGCTCCTCCACGAGGGGTAAGAGACATAACCATGATAATTTACTCTCAAACAATGGTTTGTCACATGGGGCATGCTAGTTCACAGGTAAGATCAAACTGTTACAGAAGATACAGTCTTCACTGTGGTGGGTTACTCGGTTAGTTTGATACTTTATGGGGTATATTGATCATGAAAGTATGGGGGATAATAC